TTTTCAATTCATCATTTGTAAAAAAAATACTACTCTTTGGGCAACTCAGTTTTCCCATGAACCTCCATCATTTTCTCTTGAAACCCTATCAGCACACTAATTTAAAAATAAACCTGATTACGGTTCACTGTTCAATACATCGAGGCACACCCAATCATCGATACAACTAATTCAACTGACGTATCCAGAATCGCATCGTTCTCCAATAGGCCAACGGTTGCGTGCTAATTGCGAAATGTTTGTCACCAGCGAACCTTTGTTAAAAAATGTCATTCCACCCACCCACACGGCTTAAAAGACCGTGGTCCAGCACACACGTACAAACATCCCAAGCCGAGCGCTTGCTCTGGTTCTTGTGATCTGGTGGAAAAAAATTAAGGTTCAAGGACTGAGACGGGAACAGAGGGAGGTGGGAGAGCACGTATGGTATTCCCTGCGGGGTGCGAAGGGCGGAGTGGGGCGATACACGGCCGAGAAAGTGACAAAGAGATACCGCGCAACGCGCTCTCGCGTTTTCTAATCGCGCCCGGACTGACGTCACTGCACATTGCGGAGCAGAGGCAAGATCCTTTCTAATACCGATCCTGAAACGCCAGCCTTTGTTGTGCATACATACGCACGGATCTATACCATGGGATGGGCGACTAGAGCTATTTTCGTTATAACTATCGTTTTTATTAATTTTCATTTCTCATCATTACAGTTTCGATGGGCAGAAGTCGAAAATTCAAGGGTTGTATGTATGAATGTTGTAGGGATTTGAGTGAAACTATTGTTTGGTGTGAATTGACACAGATTTTTTTCAAATGATTATCTTGGTTTGTATAAATTTAAGAATTTGTTCAAAAGATTTTAATTTTTTAATGTTATTTGCCGTGGAAATAGGGAATTAAAATGGGTTTAAAAATATTTATTATTTAAGACTTTAAATCCACGACTTCAATGTGAATTTTGAACAACAATCACCAGAACTTTTCTATTGCATAAGAGTTATGTTCACCCTTAGGCGTTTATTAGAGATTTATCAGTGTACAGAACGATTAAACTGAAATTTCGCAAAAGGTTAAGTATTCAAAACTTTTATGAAGTTGGGAAAATTCACATTGAGATTTAACTCATAATAATCAATAAAAACGTTTGTTATCACAAAATTTACATTTATTACGTCATCTTTAAAAAATTTTACTTTTTAATCACTAAAAAAGTTTTTATAAAAATGCATGCTGTCTGGTATTATAAGCCAATTTAAGTATTATGAAAAGTAGGCATTGAATTTTAATTATTAAGAAAGTTAATTGTCTAAGTAATTGACAAATAAAGTATTCTCTAAAAATAAAATACTCTATTTGTTCTGGATATTTTTTTTACACTAATTGCTAAATAATGGTAAATAACAACTTTTTTGGCTTGAGTAGGTGCACTATAATTTTCAAAAATTATATAAGTAATTCTAACGATTATCAAAATTTTTTTTTACATACTCTGGATATTTTTTTCTTTTCAATTACTCACTTTTGTAGAATTTAATGCATTACATTGCTGGAAACCATTTTTTCTCTTTAAATGCTGTACCGTATATATTAAAAAAAAAAAAAAAGTTTCCAGAACCTACTGATAATGTGTTATATTTTCAGAAAGAATTCGTAACGCAACGTATTTTAAAAAGTTACGATTATTTACTAGTTATCATGTGGTTGAAGTTTAAATAAAATGAATAAAAATCAGTACGAAATGTCAAACTACGGAGTGAATTCATAATTCAGAATAAATGATACGTAATTTACAACCTAAAAAAATTTATATTTACAAGTAGCAACACAAATTTTGTCTCTTGTCTATATCACATACACAATAACTCTATTGAAGCACCATTATCTATTTTATTTATTCAATATCTTTCATAATATTCTAAAAATGTTCCACACCTGAACCCCAATTTGAAAAATCAACAGTGTCAAAACTACAAGCTCAAATCGTATTTTACGAATGATCGTATTTCTTCAAAAAAGTTTTTTTTATCTCAGAACCCGTCACTCGATCGCTTGTGCGTTATCTTTTTGCTTTTTGAGTCAACATTCTTATTTATAGATAATTTTTTTTTGCCAAACACGAGTGGGTACTCGACCCAATCTTGGATTTAATAAGGTCATGCCTGACACTTTTAGATGGCTCCTGGTCACCCATACTAACCAAGCATACGTTCTTTCGCAACTGTTTTCTATTTTTCCATAACAAATCATATAGGGAAAGTATTACTTAACGCAGGAACATTTATGTTAATGTCTCAGTTTATCTTACAAATATTTTTTTTCTATTTTAGCTAAATTCAAGCTAGAAATACGTATATTACTAGTTAAGAAAATTTTCAACACACGCTGCCTTACGTTGTTTATAACTAAAAAATAAAAAATCCACAACAAAATCTTAAAAGCCATTTGTATTAAATTCTTCAAGCGTATTTTCTCAATTTTGTGACACTAAATTTTTGAACTGTTTCACGTAAGAAAACCGATTTTCTCAAACTTCGGTCTTTCCTTAAATCATTCCCAAACGCCCACGTACCAAAATCGAATCTAAATAATCCACAGCCACAACCGCCACAGCTACCACACACATGCACATGCAGGGGGTCATGCAAGTCACACCTGGCAAGTCTCGGATTTGTTATTTCTTTTCCTCCGTCTCATTTTTTGGCGATCGCCCCGTGCCGATACCCTCGCAGCTGTCCAACACCGCGTGGACCGACTCCGCAGAATTTCATTCGTGCACGTACACACGCGCTCGCAAAACGTGAGAAAACAAGAGCGGATCCCGAGGCGTTGATATTACGTGTACGGACACACAAGCAACAAATTTTCGCGCGGACTTATCTCGGCCCCGCTGTTGCGCGCGCGCTTTATCTGCCCGACGGAGCTGTCAGTGGGAGATTACGAGTTTGTTTTCGACTGCGTTTTTGACCTTTTTTCCAAAGAACGAGACTCGAAGGAGAAGAAAAAGAGCCGGAGATGAAAGTGAAAATTGCGAAACTAACAGAGGCGACCAAAAAAATTCTTTTTTTTCCTTCGTTCATACAGAATCAATTGAGTATTGAGTATTTATTAATGACAAGGGACCTACAACGCCGTGGCTTGAGTTAGTTGCCATAATGTGACTAAGCTCACGCATGAGCTACAGTCTTACAAATAAATAACAGCAGTAAGTGTACAAATTTTGCTCAGCTTAAACGAAATAAAATAAAATATATACAACAAAAATGAAGAAGAAAAAAAGCAATCAACGAGAGTCGTTGTTCAAAAACGCATCGTAAGGCAATTTGTGTTGAATGGGCAATAAATTTTCGTGGATGATTTTTTTAATTGCCCTACAGTGCAGTCTCGCGCTCCAAAAGCATAATCATATCAGCTGCGGAGCAGTACAGTAATTTACCAGTTGTTCCCAATACTTTCAAGAGAGCAGTTTAACATGAAACAGTAGATGTCAAACTCTGTGGTTTACGTGTAAGTATACGCTCTTCCTGTGAACTTGAACTACAGATTCGCTCGCAAATAGAGAGCCATGGCAAGGTCGTTCTCAGCAACACGATGGTGATGCATAGAAAGGAAAAAAAGAAAAGAAGAATTCGAAGTGTGCCTCGGGGCGACGCTTGTCTCCGTTCCCCAACGATGAATTCGATAAATAATAATTAGCACATATCCGCGCTCGGGTGCGCTGGCAAATGATTAATACATGTGACGGAGGCGGCAGAGTGCGCGATTAGAGATTCAGATCGGATCGTCGCCTCGGACACCCCTTCATTTTTTTTTTTTCCTGTTCCTCTCCCTCTTTTTTTTCCAGTTCAAGGCATTTTCGTGCAGAGAATTGCGTGCCGTGAGACGGTAAATTACAAGGATGCAAATCGCGGAGGATTAGAACAACCGAGACGCCCGCCGCCGTTGTGTCTTTTCGTTATCTCTCCAGCAGAGGATTGGATCTCGAGCCTTTTTTTTTTTTTTTTTCCTCATCCTTTGACATCATCGGACGGACTTTGTGCGGGCATTCCAATCGAATTCGCGGTGCGCTCCGCGTGATTTATTGGCTTTGTAAACATAGACGGAGAAAATCACGGAGCAGCGCAGGTGTGAGAGAAAAATCGTACGCGTTGCACAATTAAATCTAGATAATGAGCCGAGATACGGCGGGGCTTAATTTCGATTTTCATTCGAACGGTCGCTGGAGTTATCATTACGAGATGTTATCGGGGGGTACACTGTAGGTTTGTATATCGTGGCTATATGCGTATACCCGATAGCGGTGGAAATCGGTTCTATTTATACTGCATGGTGTAATCGATTGGGATTTGACGAATTGCGATCTATTTCTTTTTTTTTTCATCAGCGAGAAGTCGGACATGTTAACTATGGGTAATACTATAGCGAGTAGCTGAAAGTAATAGTCGATAGGCGAACTGATCAGTAAATTAATCTACTTATTGGAATGAGTAGATATATGAAATAACAGACTTCACGTTCGAAGCTTTTGTTTATCGACAAAAAATAGGTGTCTTTCTACAACAACAAAAAAATGCAATGTTAGGAGTATTTTCCCTTAGTAAATTTTGTTAGCGAGATAAGATAAGTGCTAATAGCTAATTCGATAAAGATTTGAAGAAACTTGTGATCCGATTGAATTCTGTCTCTTTCGGCAACTTATGATACCACCTCAATTTTCACGTACTTTGGACATGAGTTTCTAAAAAAATAAGTGAAGTTCATACGAGATAACATTGTACAGTCATTAGGTCATAAGAAGAAAAAATTATTTTATTAATACCTCACGTCTCTGATTTTTAATGAAATAAAGTAGAGCTGACAAATTTAGTCATCTTTGAACCCCCCTTTCCTGCTCGTCAATCTTATGGGAACAATGGAACATACTTTTATTTATTTATTAATTTTTTTTTAATTGTAATTAAAAACCCGGAAACTGTGTAGGGAAAAAAAAAAAAAAAATTTAGTTCTTACCTTGTTCGCCAAACTCATGCTCGTCTCCGGCGGCGCTACTTTCACAATCACCTTGTGCGCATCAACGCAACTTCATGGACCGAGAAAAAAAGAAGCTGCACCAGCAGCACCACTGCACAAAAAAAAAAATTCAACCACGAACTGAGCAAGTGTCACACTTTTTCATCGATTGAGCTGGCCCTCACGACACACGCAGTCACCCACTATTTCGCAATCGCAAAGACGCGCGCGCGTGCAAAAACCCGGTTTTAGGGGATTGCCGGACAACTTTACAGTACAGCGCGCGCACCGTTACTCAAGACGACGGCATCGGACTACGATTCGACCGAAGCTTGCAGCCACAGCGCCGATAGTCGTGAGCCACGTGCCCATCGTGTCATCAGCGGCAGCATCAGCAGTTATACGGAGCGCACCTCTTCCAGTCCGTGCATTCACTCGCACGTAACGCGGCGCACGCACCACCGTATGGGCACAGTGAGCGCAAGACTGTGTCACCGAGAGAGGACGGGGGATAGGGCCACGCGGGGTACTTATAAACGTCAGCCTGGCTCGCTCTTCCGACTTGTTCTGAGCGGGCAAAGTATCCGAGACCGGCGAGTGCTCATCCTCCGGCGAGACTCTTTTGCCACCACCACCGCGGCCACCTTCGCCACCACCTCCAGTCCCGGACGGGCAGCTCTCCTTTGCCTCCTCCTTCTCCTTCGCCGTCGACTCTTCGCCGCCTTTCGCTCGCGCTACATAAGTACTCCCGCGCGTGTAATTGTGTACGTGCGATCGAGATTCGAGAAAGAGAGAGGAGGCTTCCCGCAATGGGTTTCGCTGGTACTTAATAAGCTGAGGGGGGGGGGTATGTGTATATACGGCGTGGCATGCCGACCGAGTGTCTTAGTGCTACGTTATCCTTGGCATCGCGCGCGCGCTTGAGGTGCAGGGCCAAGATGTTTTCTCCTTCTCCCTTCTCTGCTGTGGATCGTATACGGGCAGCCCTTTGACGCCTGGTGGACCTCTCGTAGGTCTTGGTTTGGTACGGGGGAGATAAGCAGCGAGGGTTCCTTTCGCTCCTGATGCGAGGGGGCTTGGTGATTTCGATGGGTGGCCCCTGCGTGGCAGCGGCTAATTTGTTGCTGTGGAGAAGTTTTTTTTTGTTTTTGTTTTTGTTTTTGTATTTTTTTTAACCAATTTTTGTTATGCGCAGGAATAAAATAAAACGATTTGGGAGGAAAAGATACTGTCATTTAGAGATTCTTTTTTTTCTTTAATTGGTATCATAAAAAGACATATATTGGACTCGAACATGTGCCTTCAATTCCTAGAAAACTTTTTGGTTTTAACTTTTTTAAGTAGTAAAAGATAAATTGTTGTGGAAACATTTACAAAATACATTTGAAAAAACAATTTCATTCCAAACGATTACTTTATCCACGTTCTGTTTCAGTAATTTTGTGAAGTAGTACCAGTTGTCTCAAAAATGTGAAATTCTTCATGATTATGAGAAGTAACGTTAATAATGCCTTATCTTACTTTAGGCGTTTCTTAAGTTTTAGACGTTTACTGCGATCTTGGAAGAAAAAATTAGGTTAACATCCAACCAGGACAAGCGCAAGGTATCCCTGAGAGACTGGTGATTTTCCCGCTGACAAGCGCAACCAGATGCAAAAACTACACTATTCTATCTAAATGAATATCAAAATTGCAATTTGAAAACTTTTTGAATATTTTTACTTAACGGTTGAAAATTATGATGGAAACAGTAATCTTACTATTATATAAAGCAAAGTAGTTAGAACCGTTGGAATCGGTAACCGTAAAAACTACTAAATAGATTTTGCTGAAATTTTGCATACTGATTCTTGATGATTCCGAGATGGTTTTCGCATAGTTTTTTTCTTGAAAAAGTTAATAACAATAGCGATAAATAAGCTCAAAGTTTAGCTAAAATGAGCTAGCTTTGCGCTTTAGTTCAGTATGATTCGCTAGGTAACGTCGAGGTGAAATTAAAGCCACCCGCAACCAAAGATAGTAAAGAGTGGTTATAACATGCCCCATTAAATTTACAGTTATTAAAGTTAATCATCGGCACTACACCAAAAACAGAGGAGTCCGTCGTATAGCTGGGTAACCTGGCTACTAATGACACTTTCCTTTCATGAACAAGCGAAATAAATCGGTTAATACCCCGGATTCCCAAAATAAAAGAGTGCCACGGAAAAACAGGCGTTCGGAATGTCAACGTCTCCGGTGAAATACCAGGAAACGTTTCTAGCCAGAGCATAAGTATCTCAATCTGCTCAAGCACTTCAGAGCTTTGTGGCCGTTCAACCATCCAACCTGGTGCCATCAGAGAATTTTGTACTTCAAATGCGAGCCAGGGAAGACAGCTCTGAAGAGTACGGGCACCCACAACGGCCTCCTTCGTAGTGGTCGTCTCAACGGCATATCAACAAAAAAAGTATTCTCCAGGCCCATTTTTTCAACTAATGATGAGCAGTTGGTTATCCGAGGAACAACTATAAGACGAGATATTCTTTGGTCAGCGGTGTCCCTCCCTTCCTGTATGGTGTCCGTACACAGAGACTCAAAGGATAAGCGTCAAGCTACCCGCAGCTGGCTCTTCATCATCAAGAATAATAATAAAGAATAGCTGCAAGTTTCACCACCGGCTCTTTTCAGGGCCATTCTAAGTATTTATGATCCCTACTGAACCATTACTCTCATTGGTTCTTATAAGGGCCACCTAAGTTTAAATTACTTTAACAACAAACACATTTTTACTACAATATCCAGAGACGATTCGTCAACTAAAAGACTATGTAAAGCCCGCCACTATTAAACCAAGTCAGTCATTTACTGGCAGACGTCACGAGCAGATTTGTTCTTCGCAAGGCTGGGAACCCCGATGACCGACGACCCTATATTATCCTCTCGACTTTGAGCTTTCAACAAGAAATCAGCGATCCTCTCCAAGGTCTGCGCTGGGAGAACCTAACAGCTATAAAGAAAAAATAATAAACGTGAGCCAACGGGACAGTTTCCAGCGGGCATGCATCACGAACCAACCTCTCCACCTAAGATCACCAAAACAACTGAGTCTGCAAACTACGAGGGAGTTTTAGGCACCGTATTCGATGTAATACCAGGAGACGTTGGGAAAGAGCTTTACAACTAGCTCCAAAGCTTCAAACGTTGTAGTTTTTTTCCCGATCAGTGCTGTGCTGCAGAAACAGGCCCACAAAGATCACCCTGAGGTATCCAGGCAGTCACTTTTGCTGGAAACTTCAATCAAGAAAGACTTTACTTAAGAAGCTCACTGGTCCTTTTCAGGGTCATTGGACGTCAAAATATCTTGCTAACAAATATATTACAACCTAATTAAGTTGAAAGAAATAGCCTTTGTCAAAATAGAAGGAAAACTTCAAATGCATCTTTTGAATACAATTTTAGGCATCAAAAAAATGACGAAAGAATTTGTTAAGTGAGAGATCAGATTTTCACTATAGCCCTTACAGTAATCTCTTGAATTTCCCAGATTTTTAAATAAGTAGAATATGTATTTGTATTTTTGTTGCGATAAATAATTTAGAGATAAAGCTCCAGAATTTTGTTGCTCTGGTAATAAAGTTGTGTGATAAGAAAAAAAATTTTCTTATGATGTATTTTTTGTAAGCTTTGAATCTTTACAGCTTTAAAAAATAGCCCTGTTCATAGATTATACGGGAGAAACTGTAAATCAACGGCCATTTAAGGCCAACGATTATTTTATGATACAAGGAATGCACGGTACTTTTTAGCATAATTATATTTTTTTCATTTTTTACAGCTTTTTACTCGACCAAATAAATGCTATCAATTTTGAAGTAACATGTTTTTAATAAGAAGATTTTTGTTCTGAGAAGTGTCAGAACTAGATGTAAAATTTTTAATTGAAAACGTTTTACATTACATGTCAACACGTTACGGTGTCCATTTAGTAAGTCTCAGGCGAAGCTGAGATGGGGGGGGGGCGCTAGTATTAATAAATTATCCATCGATCAGTGGTATTTTTAAACATTTACTTTTTTTTAAAGAAGCATTTTAAAAATAGATGTTTTAAGGAATTACTCTTTGTCACCTTATTTTATACTCTTTGACTTTAAGAGTGTGGGATTTTATAAGACCAAGTAATACGAAGTTCGGGATACTTACTTTTCATAACATAACTGAAACTAAATTTAACATAGCCGAAAATTTACATAAAAATTAAAAAATCTCCGATTATTAATAGAGAATTAATTTTGCGACTTATTTTACAAAATCTTTGCTCCTTACATGAAAACACGTTACGCAAAAAACTGATTTTGTCTCACAAGTGAACGGATGAATCACCAGAAACACGTTCTCCAAAGTAAATGAAGAGACAAAAGAGCATAAAGATTTCTACTCTCATCTCGGGCGTTATCCTTCGAAATCGTAAAGTATCCTTATATTATGTCGAAGAGAAAGAAATGAGCGTGAGCGTACGGTTTTTCTTGATACCTACAGAATGCATGGCCGTTCGTTGAGCACAACCTGCTCAAACTGGCATCCCAATAATGGAAAGCAAGCCCGTTTCTTTTGTGACTCATATCGTGACTCTCGCATTAAATGTCAATGATTTATCGAGGTGTTCTCTTTTACAAAATATCTATATACAAAATATTTTAAAGTAGTACTCTTGTATATTAATTGACCGACAAGATTTCGATAAAATTATGTACATGAGATTACGAGCACCCAAAAATAATTTAATTAAATTTTTGTGGACCTAGGGTGTGTAGGAAGAAAATTATGGGCATTTTAAATACTCATCAGTTTAACTGATTTTTAATTAGCGATTGAATTAATGAAATCAAGAGGTTAATTACAGATGTTATGTCTGTACACAGAATGAATATAGATATACTAATACATTGCCTTTAAGATTATGTTCTCGGTTGATTAGTGTGGTATCGACAGTACTACCCAAACCCCGTGCAGATACCAAATATCATCTTATCTTACCAACTCTTATATGCCATACCATCTTATCTATCGTGCTCATCCACTTAATAAAAAAATGTGATATCCCATGTTTTTGACTGTTATAAAGTTGTTAAATTGTTGACCATCATAAAAATTTTGCTTGATAAAGCTTTCTACAAAAAGTAGTAAACGAAGAGGAGAATTACAGTCATGTTTACCGTGAACTTATGGCGATGTTCTGATTTTTAGTTACTTATGTGACATCTCAACTTCATCGTACTTTCACAGTGAACAGTATTATAGCTCTTTCTTTTACATACGACTATGAGTTTCTTAAGAAAATACACT